GTATGTGAACTTGTATGTTTGTAAACGCACCCACGACACAGGAGAAAATCCTAGTGTGGGGCAACGTTATAAAAAAAAAAAATGTAATAGCAGACTAAGGCCCTAGCAGCTGTAGCCAAATGCCATTTAGCGCTTGTCTACATATAGAATAGAAAAACAAATTATATGAAATTGACGTAAATTTTGACACTTATCAGTGTCATCCCCATACATTTAGTTTTCTACTCTCTCTGTAGACAAGCGCTGAAGTGGCGTTTGGCTAAAGGCCCTGGTCAACTAGCAATAATCAATCACACCTCGGATTAACCTTATTGGTTACGATATTGCTTCTGCGCAAAATACCGGGTTCCGGCTCGAAGTGCAGGAGTAGGAACGGGGTGGTTTTTAGTCAGTAAGAGTCTGACACTCCCTCCCGCCTCACCCAAGCGGGAGCAGTCATTCGATGATTTTCCCCCCTTAAAAAAAAGGCCCCTGAGTGCCAAGCACAAATAACTATCGCATTCGTAATAGTATCGAGCGCGTTCGGCGCTCGGATTGGCCGGCTCAATTGAACCAACCAATCAGAACGCTTAACTCGCTTAACCTTTATTTCTTTTTGACGTCAGTTAAGAATGGATTGTACTTACATGATAAGAGAAATACAAAAAATAATATTTTGATACATATATGTTTGCGGTCGTCGTCTGTCATCTTCAAACGATAAATAATGGTATTGAAGTGTGTAGTAGGTACATACTGAACTATTAATTAATTTTTTTAATTACAATTTTCCTATTACATCGTTGCAGGTATGAACATACCTATTTCAACTAATTTAATGATTACTTAATTATGTAAATAATTATGCTAGCTTCTGCTCGCGACTTCGTACGCGCAATCCCGTTATCTCCCGTTCCCATAAGATGTTCAGGATTTTTTTCTATCATAAGAAACTTCTCCTGACAATAACAAACACAATCAATGTTACTTGATTATTATTTATTTATTTATTTTCAGCCATGATCATCCCACTGCAGGGCAAAGGCCTCCCTACCCTCCTTCCGCTCCTCTCTATGTAAAGCTTTTTGCGGCCAATCCTTGTCATAGATGTCTAATTCGTCTCGCCATCTCCTTTTGGGCATGCCGACGTCTACTGTTACTTGATTATTTAAAATAAAACAGAATCAAGTAACACGGCAGACCAGTAAACTATAGCAAAAATATGAAGTAAATGTGGGTAAACCAATAAATTAATCAATCATTTGACTTCGTAACGTAACGATTCAGAAACATTAGGTACTTACATGAACTATTTTTACTAGATGTGGCATTGATGGCATCTATCTATCTTTATATATATAATTCTTCTGTGAGTGTGTATGTCACTGAACTTCTGTCAAACGACTGTACCGACTTTGATGAAATTTTTTGTGTGTGTTCAAGGGGATCTGGGAATGATTTAGATTCACAAATCAGCCCGGCAGATGACGCTGCAGTCGAGGTTAAGGTTATTTATCCTAAAAGGCTGAATGAATTTTTGTTTATACATTCAAGTGGATATGCAGGACAACGTCTGTCCGGTCCGCGGAATACAGAATGCAATGGAAGTAGCTTGAAGCAATATTTCTGCCAGAATCGTGTCGCCAAACTAATACATTTATAATTTACTCATACTATAAATCGGAAGTTACGATTGGTTAGAAAAAAAATGAGCGTAAACGAAATGCAAAAAAAATATCATACGATATGCAACTTTAACATCAATGCACTATAAATCAAAATAAAAAAGTATATTTTGGACTACCGAGTACCGCCATTTGTCGCTAGATGGCGTTTAACAATGCCATCTAGCGACGAAAAGTGGTACTTGGTTTGAACTTTAACGTCGTAAGAATAAAGGTGATATTTGAATGGCTTATCGCTGGCTCGAATGCGGGTCTCTACTCAGATAGTGATGTAGCCTAATTCGATAAAAATAATATCGATAATATGAAAATGTGTTTTAAAAATAATGTGAAAAAAATATTGACTGCGATAGTGAGACAGTATTAAAATAATAAAATGAATATGTCGTTGATAACTTTTTAAACGTAACAAAAAAGGGTAAGTATTTATTTGCATGTAAATCAAAAACCATTTTGTTCCTATTTTTTATTAGTTTCTTTTTTCAAATAAACTTTTTTTTTTATTTCACATAGGCAATATAAGTAACAACTATTACATAAATTTTTACAAACTTTATATGGATAATGTGATAAATGAGAGGGATGGCGATAAGGATGACGGTGCTGATCTGCTCCGTGAAGTGAAGGTTCTTCCAATCACGTCGGGGTCACCACTAAAATAATAAAAAAATAATCTAAATAAATGTTACATTACACTTCCATCGATATCAATCGATAAATTCAATATGTGATTTGACCACATCACTATTTGAGTAGCGTAGAACTGGCGAGAATGTTCTATTGAATGGAATAAATCCAAAATAAACTTTATCTTGAAGGCGTAAGGTTGATTTTGACTAACCGTTTTAGTAAATAATATTATTTTAATAACCGTTTTGTAAAAATAAATAAAGATTTCTACAAGAAAACAGTGAAAATGTACTTACCGATGATACGAAACACCTCCATTTTTACGATTTTTCGGCTGCTATCATTTTTACACGCCAAAACGGAACAAAACGGCATAGTTGAGGAAATATGTATTTGTCACGAGACTAGCAACTCGACGCGATGTTCGAACGAGTCTGAACTCGAATTTGCCTCGAGTAAGCAGTACACTGCTGGGTTGTGGCACGCGTGCCACGCCTACTTGCTACTTCCATTGTATTCTATATTCCGTGGTCCGGTCCGATAGTAATATATAAAAATGAATCCCTTTTTCCCTTAGTCACGGCATCACGAGTGAATGGCTGGGCCGATTTCACTAATATTTTTTTTGTTGTATTTGTTATTATTAGGAGGTTCTTAAGACACCTTGTTGGCCGAGTGGTCGCAAGTGCATCTGCCGGGCAAGGGGTCTCGGGTTCGATTCCCGGGTCGGGCAAAGTATTACAGGGTTTTAAAAAAAATCTCAGTTTTAGCACGGAGTCTGGAACTGTGCCCGGTACATATACCGGGCACAGTTCCAGACTCCGTGTTCCAGACTCCGTCAGTCGACTCCGACTCACATGTAATAGAGGGTGAGCCAATTCCATAGAATTGGCTCACCCTCTATTACATGGGACTCATAACATAAATAGTGAAAAGGTGGTGTCACTTCTGTGTGCACCTCTGCCTACTCCTTTGGGGATAAAAGGCGTGATGTTATGTGGTTCTTAAGACAGAAAAAATCCTGAAAATTCTAAGCTAAGGGAACGGGAGAAAACGGGATTGCGCGTACGAAGTCGCGGGCAGAAGATAGTGTATATATGGAGTACAATAAGGCCCGGCGCCCACTATCGGCATCGGCAAGGAAAATGATCCTTCGGCATCTTACATGCAAGCGCACACTGACGGAAACTATGCTTTAGTATGCTGGAACGTACTTAGGGATCACGTTATTCGGAGTCGCGGAGAACCTAACGGGTAACCGGGCTCCGGCTCGACGTGCAGGAGAAGGAACGGGGTGGTTTTTAGTCAGTAAGAGTCTGACACTCCCTTCCGCCACATCCAGGCGGGAGCAGTCATTCGATGATTTTCCACCCTTTAAAAAAAAATAAAAAAAGGGATCACGTTACTCATCGTAACAGTACCAGAGTTGTTAAAACCCAGATTTTTTTCTTGTTGCCCCACACTAAGATTTTCTCCTGTGTCGTGGGTGCGTTTACAAACATACAATTTCACATACACATCACACCTAGATCCGAAACAACAATGTGTGGATCACACAAAGTGTTGTTCCGTGCGGGAATCGAACCCGTGACACGTTGCACGGCAGCCGGTTGCCCAGCCACCGCACCAACCGTGCAGTCAAAGTTGTTTGAGTTGTATTTAATACTAGCTTTTACCCGCAGCTTCGCTCGCGTCACAAAAGGAAAAAAGTAGCCTGTGACGTAATAACATACCAATACACACAGTGCCATCTATACCAATACTTTTGTTTTCCCTCGGGAATATCAAATTTTTCCGGGATAAAAAGTACCCTATTATATAATCCGGACTTCTAACTTTACGTCTTCAAAAATTCAAAGCAATCGGTTTAGTAGTTACGGCGTGAAAGCAGAACAAACAAACTCACTTTTCCATTTATAATATTAGTAAGGATGGTAGACTAGGATCTAGTGCTCATAGCAGCTCTAGGTGAAGAAGAAGAGAAATCTAATCAAACAAGCACGCGGCCGGAGGATACCTAAGCATCCCGAAGGTTTCTCAAGGCTGCCGATACAGGAGCCTCACGCATACCGAAGCGGTATTTTTGTTATTACGCCCAATGCACGGCAATTTCTACTTTATTGCCATTATGTTAATGTATATTGCTATTTGCCATCTAAAATCCTGAGACGTGCCAATACCCATAGAGGGCGCCGGGCCTAAAGGAAGCCAAAAACGCTAGGTTTTGCATGACAGTTTTAGCCGTGCATGCATGACCGACAGGGCAAACTCTAGCGTGTATGTGATTAAACTATACAATTATCGGTGCATGTACGGGCACAGGTCAAAAGTCCACTGCCACCGTGAGCGATGTTCACACAGCAATGCGTAAGTAATTTCATATTAATGTGCATAAAACAGCGTGTGTAAACACACGCACGCGTACGCACACGGATCAAAATATGCGTGTGTGTGCGTGTATAACCGATAGTAGTCTTACGGTGGCAGTGGACTTTTGACCTTTGACCGTACATGCACCGATAACTGTACAGTTTAATATGTGATTAAACTGTACAGTTATAGCTTGCCTGTCGGTTTTGCATGCAAAGTTATAACCATCATGCATAGCCTAGCGTTTATGGCCTGATTTAAGTGTAAAATAAACAAATAAAGGACTCTGGTATAAATAAAAACGAATAATCCCATACAATTTGTTTATTGAACATTCTACCAATGATAATCAATTTCCCAGCCGTACTCGATGGGCCAAGGCGATGGTTTAGGCGTAGTTGTGGGATTCAGCTTATTATAAACGTACAGGTCGAAATTATGCTTGTACATCCGCAATCTCTTCTTTTTCTCTTTATCACTTTTAGGCATTGGCGGAGTAGGTCGTACTTCTCCGAATGGATCTGAACCTCCATCCCCATCCTCACCAGCACCATCTATACCTCCTTTCCCCTTTCCTTTCCCCTTCCCTTTCCCCTTCCCTTTACCTTTACCTTTCCCCTGATTAGCAGTATCAAGATACTTTGCATATTTCTCTCTTTCAATTTCTAGTTTGGTCTTCTCATAGTATATGGTGTCGAAATCTGTAGTTATATTATATTTTCTTTCAAGTTCATGAAGCATGCCTCCTAAAACCAATATGAAATATGGACAGTATTTTTAAAGATAAATCTCAGTAGTAGCACGGAGTCTGGAATTGTGCCCGGTATATGGCAATAGACTCACCCCCTATTACATGGGACTCGTAATATAAATAGTGAAAGTGGGTGTTACATTGTATAGTGGCATTAAGTGCCGTAATGTACACATTTGCCTACCCTTTCGGGGATAAAAGACATTATGTAATATATGTAAATTTAAAGGCATTCTGGTGGTCCATACGTTTAGACTGCGATAGTACATATACACACTACTCACTGTGTATAAATCGAATGTCTACTACAGTTTTAAAGTGTGGGAGAGCCATGCTTCGGCACGAATGAGCCGGCTCGACCGGAGTGATACCACGGCCGAGCAGAAAATCGACATGGGATATTCTATCCATGTTTATTCGCTTGTAAACTTCGCATGTAGGATACAGGATTCTTTTGACGTCATCCGTTGATTTGTGGCATGTGTCGCCACATAGTTATATGGTTTTGGTTGGTAGTGGCGACTGATTGCGCCGCCAGCGTCCCGGTGTCATGTAGGCAGCTCTTAAGGCCGATTTTTCCAAAGCCAGATACATATAATTGATGAATTACTTTGAATATTTGACAATACTTCCATATTGAAAACTGTCAACTGTGAATTTTATTCTACAGTTATAGTAGGGGAGCCCATAAAGGGATTTCGGTAGTTACTCGAGCGCGTTAGAATAACATATGGGGAAAACCTAGTATCATGTTGAATATACCCACCATATATCCGATCTGATTAGAAGGGGGGGACTAAAAATAAAAAAAAAATCTGACTAAATAAAGTCAGTTTCGTCAGATTAAGGGAAGGTAGGTCAATACCATGCTAAAGGAAGTGCGTTTAAAAAATCTGCCCATTCCAACTTGATTTGCAAGAATGAGGGACCAATCTGGTCACTACATGTCCGTCTAGTGCGCCCTCTACCGACGGCCCCATTCATATCCGCTCTGTATACTTCTTTCGTTACTCTACTTTCATCCATCCTTTCTACATGTCCAAACCAGCGTAACATTCCCTTTTCAATCCTTGTCACTACATCATCTTTCAATCCACACCTTTCTCTAATAACACTATTTTTCACTCGATCACTCAATTTTAGTCCATACATAAAATCTTAATAACCTCAAGTCCCACAAAATAAAGAAATTTCATCAATCAGCCTTGTATATTCCTCATCAATCGGAACAGTCGGCTATTCCGATAGGTCCCAAAGCGGGACAATAGGGTCATCATCAACAGCCTATAAACGCCCACTGCTGAGCAAAGCCTCTTCTCACACGGAGAAGGTTTGAGCATTAATCACCACGCTTGCTCAATGCGGGTTGGCGATTTCAAACAAATAATAAGAAAATATAAGCCCAGGTTTCCTCACTATGTTATTCCTTCACCGTCTGTCAGTGGTGTCTAGATAATCTTAGAAAGTACATATAACTCGGAAAAAGTCACATTGGTACTTGCCGTTGGTAGGTTTCGAACCTACACCCTCATGCGTGAGAAGCGGGCGTCTTAAACCTCCGGGCTACCATGACACACCGACACAACGACCAAGTGATTTTAAAACATTAGACACGTATTTTTTCTTTTCTCGCAAAATGAAATGCTTTTTACGATATATTGATTTGAAATGTCGCGTGACGTCACAGTGTGCTACAAAATGTACCACGTTCTGACGTAATTACGTCCCACTCTTAAACTTAACGCCATTTTATTTAAGTATTGTAACTTAATACGAGAAAATAAAAAAATACGTGTGTAATATTTTTTCATTATCTAACTGACGGACTAATTACATTTTTAATTTTCTTACCCGTGAAACTAGCCTATTAGTAACAAATGCTTTTAACTCACTTAGATGGTCGATTTCAAAATAATAAAGCTCAATGTCCTCAAGAAAAAGTAAGTTTTCCATGACATAATTCCTATATTTATTAATTGAACTGGAATTGTACTTGTCGACCATTTTTCGATATTTATCCATTATTATAAAATTCAGATAGCCAATCTGAAAACATAACAAAATGCTTCTTAATATACCTCTAATAAAACTAGCTACTTCCGCGCGGTTTCACACGCTCTGCTCGGCTCCTATTGGTCTTAGCGTGATGTTTTATAGGCTATAGCCATCCTCGATAAATTTGCTATCCAATACAAAAAGAATTATTTCAATCAGACTTGTAGTTACGGAGATTAGCGTGTTCAAACAAACAAACAAAAAAACAAACTCTTCCGCTTTATATGATAAGTACTAGCTACTTCCGCGCGGTTTCACACGCTCTGCTCGGCTCCTATTGGTCTTAGCGTGATATTTTATACGCTATAGCCATCCTCGATAAATGCGCTATCCAACACAAAAAGAATTATTTCAATCAGACTTGTAGTTACGGAGATTAGCGCGTTCAAACAAACAAACAAAAAAACAAAATCTTCAGCTTTACATCCTTACTAATACTAATTACTATATTACTAATATTACTAATTACTTATATTACTAATTACTAATTTTACTAATAATATAATAAATCAGAAAGTGAGTTTGTTTGTTTGTTTGTTCCGCTTTTAAACCTATTGCTTTGATTTTTTGCAGATGTAAAGTTAGAAGTCCGGATTAAATAATAGGGTACTTTTTATCCCGGACAAATTTGATATTCCCGAGGGAAAACAAAAGTATTGGTATAGATGGCGCTGTGTGTATTGGTATATGTGTGTTGTACCGAATCTCTCTAAAATAAGTTCAGTGGTTAAGAGTTAGACAGGCCCGGGGCATTGACGCATAATTCCCGTTCCCGTGGGACATCTGTGATAAAAACTATCAAACGTTACCCAGGTCCCAAATCATCGTTTTACCGAATGTAATTCAAAAAGATTCAATGATTCTAAATTCAATGGCTAAGAAGATTTATACAAACTCTCATTCACTATTTTATCCCCTTAGGGGTGGAATTTATCAAAATCCTTTCTAAGGAGATACCTATGTCATAGTAACTTTATGCATGCAAAGTCTCAGCCCGATCAATTTAAAACTGGCAAAGTATCATACTTTGGGGTGAGAATGTACAAAAACCTCTCTAAAGGGACGTTTACGTCATAATATCCATCTGCATGCCGAATTTCAACCCGATCGGTGTAAAACTGACAAAGCTTCATACAAACGTTCATCCCCTACATTACCCCATTGGAGGTGGAAATGTTCAAAATCCTTACTTGGGGATGTCTACGTCATAACATCTACCTGCATGCCGAATTTCATCTCTATAGGTGTAAAACTGACAAATCTTCATATAAACTTTCACCCCCTATTTTACCCCCTTAGGGGTGGAAATGATCAAAATCCTTTTTTAGCGGATGCCTATGTGATAATATCTATCTGTATGTCAAATTTCAATCCGATCGATTTAAAACTGACAAAGTCTCATACAAACTTTCATCCCCTATTTTACCCCCTTGGGGGTGGAAATTATCAAAATCCTTTCACAGCGGATGCCTACGTCATAACATCTATCTGTATGCCAAATTTTAGCCCAATCTGTCCAGCGGTTTGGGCTGTGCGTTGATAGATCACTATGTCAGTCAGTCAGTCAGTCAATCACCTTTGAATTATATATATATAGATTACTAGCATTTATCCGCGGCTTCGCTCGCGTCACAAAAGGATAAAAAGTAGCCTGTGTGACATATACCAATACATACAGCGCCATCTATACCAATACTTTTGTTTTTTCTCGGGAATATCAAATATTTCCGGGTTAAAAAGCCCCTATTGTTTAATCCGGACTTCTAACTTTACGTCTGCAAAAATTCAAAGCAATCGGTTTAGTAGTTATGGCGTGAAACTTTAATAAACAAACAAACTCACTTTCCCATTTAGGGTAGACGACTAATTTTTATTTTAATGTCCGTCTGGTAGATTATTTAAAAACATTAGACACATATTTTTTATTTTCTTACGGAAACGAATAGTTTCGACGATATATTGATTTGAAATGTCGCGTGACGTCACTTCTCAGTACATTTTATACTGAGAAATGACGTTTTAGCCCCCACTCCTAAACTTTGATTCGTTTTATCTAAGTATTGTTTTATTATACGACAAAATAAAAAAATACGTGTCCTATATTTTTTAATTACCTAACTTACGGACTAATTAGATTTTTAATTTTCATACCCTGTCATCATCCCCATTATTATTTGTTTATACGTACCTCATACGCTGCCGTGTTTATATTATCCTGTTTAATAAATTCTACAGAATCGATAACTCGATAAGAGCTCTGTACACAAGCGTTGAGCATTGACGTAAGTCGGTAGTTGAGGCTCAAAGTGCATGGGATCTTCCAATCTATGTAAATACAAAACTTTACTTAACAATTTTTTATTGCATAAGCCGGTACACGAGCAGACGGATCACCTGATGGTAAGCTATCGGCGTCGCCCATGGACACATGGAACACCAGAGGCGTTACAAGTGCGTTACCGGCCTTTTGGGGATTAGGAGTTTCAGGATCGTTGGGGATTCAGGGATTGGGGAGATTGGGGAAGGGAAGAGTAATTGGGCCTACGGTAACCTCACTCACACGACGAAACACAACGCAAGCGTTGCTTCACGTCGGTTTTCTGTGAGGCCGTGGTATCACTCCGGTCGAGCCGGTCCATTACCCCTCCCTAGTCTTCCGAATCCTCGAATCCTCCACAATCATCAAATTCCTAATCCCCAAAAGGCTGGTAACGCACTTGTAACGCCTCTGGTGTTCCAGGTGTCCACGGGCGACGCCGATTGCTTACCATCAAGTGATTCGTCCGCTCGTTTACCGGCTTATGCCATAAAAAATCATACTTTTTATAAAATATGGTACCTTGTTGTAAACTGAAAAAACTTTTCTTTACTAATGCAGATGGTGGTGGGTATTACGGTATTACCACGGTAATGTTATCATACAGTATTCCAACCTTATACAAACGGACGAAACGCAAGCTATATCTAGGCGCCTCGATCGTGGCATGCATTCGGTACGATAGTCTTTATAATAAAGTATTGTACGTTATTTAAGGTAATTGTACTCTATACTTTATAAGAATAATAAAGTACACGAAAATACTTTATTTTTGCAAACTTCATTTCTTTAAAGTTTATTTATTTATTTATTTTACATAAGTACAGATACAGACGACAGATTGAAATCGTACACAACAATCTTAATTATAAATAGTGAGCGAACCTGAAGTCCAATTACAGCTGTACATAACCCACTTATATCAAATTACATAACAATTCCCAAATGTTAATCCATTTTTCTGTAATAAATTTTGTTCAATTCTTGAAAACTAAAAACTAAAAATTTTCTACTAAAAAGCGGCTATACAAGAAATCAAAGGTAACAAAAGGTACAAAGGGAACAACTGAGTGAGTGAACAACAAACCTGAAACAATGGCTGTAAGTATTTATCGATTTATGTTGAATCGATAACTCGCCATCGCCACTTAGACAATTTCTAGTAAAGATGCAATTGTTTAGTATTTCAATGCAATTGTTCAGTAAAGTTAATACAAACTGCAAAAGCAATAAGAATACATTTTTAAATATAATACTAAATAAGAATAAATTGTACTTTATTTTTGTACTATGTACTTTTTTTTCTTACCTATAATCGTCAATGTACTTTAAATACCAAAAAAAAAAGATGGCAACCCTAGTCGCGACTGTGCCGCAGCGACGAACGGGCTGTGTGTCGTTTTTTTAACATTAAACGCGCGATTTTTTTACTAAATATAAGTTCAAGTACATATTTAATATGGCGAGTAGGATATATTGTGCTGTTTTTGGTTGTATTTTTTTGCAAACATATTGATTTTCAAACAATAACATGTTTTTTTTAAATTAACTCTACCAATCAAAAAGCAACTCGCATTCTTATTGAACACTTCCTATTCCATATACAAAGTATTTTATTTGTTTGTGTAAAAAAAGGACAAAACTGAATAGAAACAGAAAGTAGGCAAATGTAACTAAAATACTGGAGACGGGCAGCCCTAACGCCAGTGGCGTAGCGTGCCTTGAGGGGGCCCCGTATAAAAATTTGTTTTGCCCCTTCAAGGGTAAATATTTTTAGGGAACAGAGAGTATAGTTCCCTAAGATCGGAACAGGAGGATCCTCCGACCAGGCGAGGTGATTGTGCCTGGCGGGCTTTCTGCCCAACCGTTGTTCGTTGGGTTTTTCTATCCATGTTTATTCGCTTGTAAACTTTGCATGTGCGATGTAGGATTCTTGTGACGTCATCCGTTGATTTGTGACATGTGTCGCCACACATTTCTCACAAGAGATTTTTTTACATAAAATACTTATAATTTGTGTGAAAACCGAAAATCTTTTCAGGCTTTCAGCAGCGTGCGCGGTCGCGGCGACGTCGCGCAGCTCACTGGAGAAGGAAGAACCCCTCTGTGGTTCGAAACCAGTAGAGCTTTTCTCAGTATATTCACGTGAGTAACCCGCGATTTTAGTTAATTTGGCTAAGGGAAGTCTCATTTCCCATAAAAGTAGGCAGTAATAGTTACATGTATGTTTAGTCTGTATCATCACCAATTAGTAAGTAGTAGCCCCCTCACTATAATGTGTTAAATAAGGTAAAACACTATTGATTGACGTCGCTGTCTACCTGTCATAGTCTAAGTGTGCGTACACGTCGTGCGCCCTGCACATTATTGTAATAAATCCAAGTAAATTGAATCCGTCTATAATTAATCAATCCACCAACATAACAGTCATTGCTCCGGAGTATATTCGGAGGGCGCGGGCGAACATGGCGATCTGATTCCTTAACCTAATACATTTGTCGCGGAGAACCAATGATATTATAAATAATAAAAAGAGGTAGATATCGCACTGGCACGCAAAAATTGTTGCCAACGAATTCGGACAATTGTCGTAATTTTATAATAGCTATCTCTTTCTGTACCATACTTTCCGTATTATCTGTCGCACGTAGTTGAAAATGACATTTAAGTACATTTGTAATAAGAACGCAACAATTTTTGGACGCCGCTTAGTATGAACGTAGCGTATCTTCTTTATAATATCATTGCGGAGAACCTAACGGGTAACCGGGGCTCCGGCTCGACGTGCAGGAGAAGGAACGGGGTGGTTTTTAGTCAGTAAGAGTCTGACACTCCCTTCCGCCTCACCCAGGCGGGAGCAGTCATTCGATGATATTCCCCCTTAAAAAAAAAACCTAATACATTTAAAAAGTGACTTACAGATCATAAGAAGTAATGTAAGCCCCCATAATGATTTTAATAACGTGTTGTTCTGGTGGCCAGCCATTGTAAGTAAAATCTTTATCGGACTCAGTAACAAATACTATTAGTACATTTAATTGCTTCATTTTTAATTAATCTTCTTAATCGTTCATTATAATACGATATCGACTGGATCGTTGCACAATTAATTTTTGTTAGTTTGAATTTAAATTAAAGTGTAAATTATACATACATACATACATAACAGCACGCCTTTTATCCCCGAAGGGGTTGGCAGAGGTGCACATTATACCACTGTATAATGTAACAGCCACTTTTCACTATTTATGTTATGAGTCCCATGTAATAGGGGGTGAGTCTATTGCCTTATACCGGGCACAATTTCAGACTCCGTACTACTACTGAGAATATTTAAAAACCCAGTAATACTTTGTCCGACCCGGGAATCGAACCCGAGACATCTTGCCAGGCATTCGCAGTCGCACTTACGACCACTCGGCCAACGAGGCAGTCAAGTGTAAATTATACTGTATGATATTATTTCATCATCATCATCAACAGCCTATAAATGCCCACTGCTGAGCAAAGCCTCTTCTCACACGGAGAAGGTTTGAGCGCTAATCACCACGCTGTGCTCAATGCGGGTTGGCGATTACAAACTTATAATTAGAAATTATAAGCCCAGGTTTCCTCACGATGTTTTCCTTCACCGTTTGTCAGTGGTGTCTAAATAATCTTAGAAAGTACATACATATAACTCTGAAAAAGTCACATTGGTACTTGCCGTTGGTAGGTTTCGAGCCCGCACCCTCATGCATGAGAAGCGTGCGTCTTAAACCTCCGGGCCACCAAGAGTGTTTTTAATTATATTTATATTATTAAACACAATGACCGAAGCTACACGAATGTATGCCTTGCTTGCTTTTAATATTCCTTAACTAATTAATACAGAAATATGAAAGAAAGAAGGACAGAAAGAAGCAGGGAGCAGTCATTCGAAGATTTTCCCCCCTTAAAAAAAATTGTTCTTTAATTGTATCTATAATGACGGTACTCGAAGAGTTAATAATTCCTAACCTAACCTATTTTGGAAATTCCGTTGTGATATGTATGTATGTTCGGAGTCCCGGAGAACCTAACGGGTAACCGGGGCTCCGGCTCGACGTGCAGGAGAAGGAACGGGGTGGTTTTTAGTCAGTAAGAGTCTGACACTCCCTTCCGCCTCACCCCGGCGGGAGCAACCATACGATGATTTTCCCCCCTTAAAAAAAAAATATGTATGTATGTAATATGTGTGTATTTATGTAGGTATGTTTTAATATGTATGTATATAATTAGGTATTAAAAGTAAATAAATTACTTTTGAATATTTTCAGTTTTACATAATAAATAAGCACCTCAGTTCACCAAGCTATAACTACCTCATTTAATATACCTATTATTGTAATGTTCTATTCACCCAAAGGTTGCCTGGTAGATATCGGTTTTAGCGATAAGGCCGCCTTTGTACCCTATTTTCTCTAATTTGTAGCTCGATATACTATCTCAAATTAGTGTACAATAAAGATTATTATTCTATTATTATGTATGTCTTTACCATTCACGGGACCACAGGGTCCCGGTCATTTGGGAGGCGTACGAGGGGCCGAAGCCAACTGCGCAGAGGCCCTTTAGACAACTTTAATATAAATGTAATGGACACACAAACCGGCGACTATCCCTGTATGCACTATGGAAATGCACCCAAGGACAGTCCCCGGTTAGTGTAGGACTATTGTGGATAATGGAAAAAAAAGTAGGGCTATGGATGGGTTGCTATGGACTGGTAAATTAGGAACTATGGATGATTATGGCACCTGCCGAAACAATGTAATTTTTACACGTAAAAATGGCAGGCGGAGACTCGCCAACTCACCGACCGGGCCCCGGGAATGGTTGCTAGATATAGCAACAGAGGGGCAACGAGAATGTGAGTGGCTGAAGGGTTAAGAAACTACCACCGCTTTCTACTCAGATCATCTGCTCCAGCCGAAGCCTCCTGCATCCCTGGCCCACTCGCGACTTACGAATAGTTTCTTACCCTCCGAGCAGGATCACTGCTCTCGCGACTCCACTCTGGACGGCCAATGAAGGCAAGCCAGAGGTGGGAGACCTGTTCCTTGTCATCTTTCACTCCAGCCAGCCAATTAAGGCAAGCCGGAGAAGAAGGAACGGTGACTTCTCCCTGGAGCACTCGGGATGATGGTAGCCCGCGGGATCGCTTAATGCCCGTCACCTCGCCTCAAGGTGCCCTGCGGGCTCTATTATTATTATTATTGAACAATTTGTGTGCAAATCAGTATCATCATAATCAGTTTTTGTTTTACGATGTAGGATGTTTTTGTAATACCTATGTATATGTAGATCATTTGTAGTAGTCGTTTTTTGATATGAAGTAGGTTATTAGTAGAGAAAGGAGAACGGCAGATTTTGTACCGCTTCGCTAAAAAAAGATTTGTCATTAAAAAATTGGGTTATTATAGAACCTCCTAAGTACGTTATGTTAGCATATTTAATAGATTTTTAAAACTTGGGAAACCCTAGAAAAACTGATATTCAATAATGATAAAAAGCAATCCACTATACGTAAAACGAACCGCGATTGACGTTTACAAAGTTGCCATGCGTAAAGATGAAATCAGAGCATATTGAATTTCGCTATTTCATAAACTCATTTATTTTAATATCTATCAATGAAATATTTTCCTTTCCATTTCAAACATTTTTATAAGTACTTAAATATAAAAATCTACATCCAATCTAAATCTACGTTTACATGGATTATTAATGATAATTAACATTTTAACAAACTTGAATATTATGGCAATGTTGAACTGGCATTTGTCTTGATGACATTGACAATTAATTTGTCAATACTGGCGCATTGCTGTTTGTTTCAAATGCGATGTTATGATGTGTTTGTTGAATTTGAAGTTATTTTATTCATCTGGTGATACGTTGAGTTTGGCAACCGTTCCTCCGTAGCCCAAATTGGTATTATTGGCATCATTGTTGTGACAATTGCGAAAAGACACTTATTTACATTATTTTGTGCAGTGTGTTGTTATTTGTCGCGATGATGAATTTACAGTGTATTAATTGCATTCAGAGTTTGTCGCACATGAGACGGCATGCTCTAGAAAATGAGAGTGAAGATTAGACGTGGTCAACAATATCCCAATGTGGACTTATCCTAGAGATGTAAGTACCTAGTTTACCCATAACATATCGAAAGTCACCATGTTGCCTGAATAAAAGAAGGCGCATAGTGTTATCTACCCATAATGTATCATTTTATTCTTTTTATTCTAGATCTCTCCTACCGACCATATTTGCAATGCTTGCTGGCAATTAGCAATGTATCGGGATGTTGCTGAAAGTATGTCCAGCAAACAAATTGGTCACTGGCATGTTTGTGTCGTATATGGGTGATTCATTGCAATGATAAGGTGACGCAGGGTTTTAATTGAAGGCGCCAACAAACAGGAGTAAAGACTGGCTCATATAGTATTTGATTGGATTCAGCCACAAGAGGTAATAAAGCATAATTTAACCATACTATTATCTATATACAGTGTAATCTAAAGTCAATATCATATTCTAATAATATTACTTATTTTAGCTTACTTCCCATGATGAAGATCATGTTCCATACTGACTGAGAGACCGTACAAGAGTCGAAACTATAAAACCACAACCTGACATACCACCTCACAGTGTTCACTATCAGGAAGTAATGTATTATGTAAACATGGACTAAGCCTCACTTTAACATTGCCATTTGTAGAACAGATGAGGCCGGATGATGTTGTTCGGCTCTCAAAGCTTCAACAGGTATGCATTCTCAATATAATGTACCTACATAATTATGTATCTATGTGGAGTATATAAGCGGTTTCTAATAGGTTTATACTCATGTTATAATTATAATTTATTAATTAGCATGCTGTTTGAGCTCCTATGATCTGTGTTATACGAATAACTATAATAAATGTTATAAAATGAAGTAATGTAATCAAATATTTATTTTTATCTTTTCCATTTTAAGATAGCGATTCAGACTTATTATTATAACATATAAAACTAAAGGAAAAAAATGTACTTTTGTTTACTTTATTTACAGTTATCTTACTTGTTTACAGATATCAGCAATTGATGTCTGCTGTACCTATGACACGGCCTGTTCTCTTTTTAGATGAAGTACTCCTAGAAACAACCTGAATACAATGAAATAAAAGTATTTCAAAATAATACATTTGTTTTATTTTAACCTAGTAAGTAACTATATATTCCATCTTGATAAAAGTGATTTTAAGAATCAATCTATAAAATAAATGCCATATTTAATTTAGATAGCTTTAGTTTTATACCAAAAATGTTCATTTTCATTTTACATTTTCTTTAGTTGTAATGTGGTGGCCCAGAGGTTTAAGAAGCCCGCTTCTCATGCATGAGAGTGCGGGTTCGAAACCTACCAACGGCAAAGTACCTTTTGTCCAATGTGTCTTTTTTCCGAGTTATTGGTATATTCAATAATCTAAGAAAGTACAAAGACACCGCTGACGAATGGTGAAGGAAAACATTGTGAGGAAACATGGGCTTATAATTTCTTATTATAAGTTTGAATTACCAACCCACATTGAGCTAGTATGGTGATTAATGCTCAAACCTCCATGCGAGAAGAGGCTTCGGTCAGCAGTGGCCACTTATAGACTTAATGATGAAAATGTTGATGATTCTACTAATTTGACTTACTTATTAGAAATTAATCCTTACATGCGTGCTAAGCAACCAGTTTTCAGAAGAAATACTTTCTCAAAGAGCTAAGCTAAGTTTAAATCGAATTAACTTGAGACCCTTGAGACTATCTACCTGCAAGATTCAAGGTGAAGTGAGACATTAGTTTTATCATATCCGCCACAAGACTTCCACTGCTAAATGTAGGCCTTCTACCCAATGACAGTCGCTTACATTATGAATTTGCATTTTCGTAGGGACCTAAGAAATGAAAAAGATTGTGAGGCATACTCTTTAAAACTCTATAGGTGCATCATGCTTGCTGAATTAACAGGATCATTCCTAATTCCCTTTTGCGCTGCAACGCACCATAGGTTATTTTTTGGGTTTCTAAATTCTTGTTGTGTGTCGTAGCAAAATAAATGGTTTTTCTTTCTTTCTAATAATACAAAGTCACTTGAGTAGCGAGCAGTATTTTTCAGATTTTTGTTTTTTGTAAATAAACAACCACATGAGAGCACATTGACATTTTTCAGTTAACTGTCATCTGTCATTTGTAATAGATATTTTGCTTACGGTGGCTCTACACTTGACGTTGCGTATTTGTTGTGTTCGGCCAAAAAAGAACATGTTTGGAGGATTTATTCTTCTTTGTTTGCTATATATTTGCACGCCATTACATATAGAGATACTATTTGGACGCCATTTGTACGTAGTCTACAAATATTTGGACAAATGAAGCGACTACGCAATGTCAAGTGTGGTACCACCTTAACATACCTTTTGCACATTTTCAAAGTGAAATAACTTTTGAACCCCAAGTTCTAAAAATATGTAATTTTTTTCTAAACTTCATAATAAAAATATCTATCGTTCAGACTATTCACTTGGTTAAAACAATGACTAATACAAAATTTTATAGCGGTACAAAACTTCCATACAAACCTGCCATTCTCCTTTAGTTTAATTAAATTTGTAATTAGAGGTGCAATAAAAATAACCATAAATTATTTCTATTTCTATCTCTATGTGTATGCCAATAAATAATTTTTAATTTAATTTATACCACTGTAAGTACAATGTAACACCCACTTTTCACTATTTATGTTATGAGTCCCATGTAATAGGGGGTGAGCCTATTGCCATTACTTACAGTGGTATAATGTGCACCTCTGCCAACCCCTTTGAGGATAAAAGGCGTGATGTTTGTTATGTTATGTTAATTTTGGTACCTGCAACGAAATAATTGGAAAATTGTAATAAAAAAATTAATTAACAGTTTAGTACATACCTACTGCACACTTCAATATCATTATTTATCGTTTGAAGATGACAGACGACGACCGCAAACATATATGTATCAAAATATTATTTCTTATATTTCTCTTATCATGTAAGTACAATCCATTTTTTTTCTGGGATCGTTCCTCGATGGTAGTGATGCGGACGAATACTTTGACGCCTGGGGCCTTAGTACCAGTTTCTTTTTTGTATAAAGTAATCGAAACGAGTCGGCGTTCTGTGCTCTGATTGGTTGGTTCATTAGAGCCGGCCCGGGAATCGAACCCGAGACCCCTTGCCCGGGCAAGGGGTCTCGGGTTCGATTCCCGGGTCGGGCAAAGTATTACTGGGTTTTTCAATATTCTCAGTAGTAGCACGTAGTCTGGAATTGTGCCCCGTATATGGCAATAGGCTCACCCCCTATTACATGGGACTCATAACATAAATAGTGAAAAGTGGGTGTTATATTGTACAGTGGTATAATGTGCACCTCTGCCACCCCTTCGGGGATAAAAGGCGTGATGTTATGTGTTATTATGTTTCCTGCTTACTCACGTTTGACGAGGAACTCGACTAGTTTCCACCCATGCTAGACACTGAAATTCATGAGCATCTTTATACTATGGTGACTGTCTCTGTTGCTATACCTAGCAACCATTCCCGGGGCCCGGTCAGTGAGTTGGCAAGTCTCCGCCTGCCATTTTACTAGTAATAATTACATTGTTTCGGCAGGTGCCATAGTCATCCATAGTTCCCAATTTACCAGTCCACAGCAACCCATACATAGCCCTAAGCCCTACCTTAATTTTCCAGGACAGTCACCGTTTTTTTTTTTGTTTTTTTTATGTCCATTGCATTTAGATTAAAGTTGTCTAAAGGGCCTCTGCGCAGTTGGCTTCGGCCCCTAGTCATCCATCGGAGCCGGCCATCCTTGGGGCAGATTTTTTATCTCACCACAAAATTCTTGTACATTTATTTTTATTTTTTTATTTTATTTAGGAAACAAACGGTCACATAAAAAACAAAACTTATATAAGAAAACAATAGGTTCAAAAAGACTTCTAGTTCCATACAATTTTTAAGCTCAGCTGCGATACTCGCTACATTGCAGGTGTTTTCAGATTGTCCTCTAGAGGATGAGGTCGGCGTCTGAGCTAATTCAGGAACATGGCTAATTCGCGTTGCTTCCGCGACATTGTCTGCAATGACCGCTAAATTGTCCAATCCCGTCGTTTCTGACACCACTAAGACTGCTCGTACGGTTGCTGGTAGATACCCCTGTCATAAGACTCAAGGTATCGTCCGGTATTTTATCTCGGGCGAAATCTCACATTCGGTGCAGGAGCTGAGAGGGCTTCTGATCGCCCAGTTCCATTTCGCCGATGAGTTTTTCAATTTGCCGGGTTTTTGAGACTGCCAGTAGTGTAAGCAATTTCGTCTTTAAAGCCATGAACTTGCCAGTTTCGGGTGGCTTTGATAGGAAATCTGACAACTGCGCAATAACATCCTTGAGTAATTTTGATACCACCAAATCGAATCTTGCGTCATCTCCTAATTTCTGAGGTGCCAAAATAGCTTCCACACGTATAAACCACACACGAGGTTGATAAGTGGTAAAGATAACATCGTGTGTCGTGGTGGCCCGGAGGTTTAAGACCCCCACTTCTCATGCATGAGGGTGCGGGTTCGAAACCTACCAACGGCAAGTACCAATGTGACTTTTTCCGAGTTATTATGTACTTTCTAATTATTTAGACACCACTAACAAACGGTGAAGGAAAAACATCGTGAGGAAACCTGAACTTATAATTTCTAATTATAAGTTCGAAATCGCCAACCCGCATTGAGCAAGCGTGGTGATTAATGCTCTAACCTTCTCCGTGTGAGAAGAGGCTTTGCCCAGCAGTGGGCATTTATAGGCTGTTGATGATGATGATGAAAGATAACATCGTGGCTGATACATCATCACGCGTTGAAACAGTTTTGTGCCCGACTGTACTCAACTACGAACAACTTGCTGAATGCTGACGCACCCATGAAAGATGGGTACATATTGCGAACAATTCAAAGTTCGGATAGTAACAATTTTTTTTTTTAAGGGGGGAAAATCATCGAATGACTGCTCCCACCTGGGTGAGGCGGAAGGGAGTGTCAGACTCTTACTGACTAAACACCACCCCGTTCCTTCTCCTGCAATTCGAGAATTCGGATAGTAACAATAGTAATATTAAATTGAAGAAAATAATGTTACCTACGTGTAATAAGCCTGTTAGATTATGAGACCATATTTGACCGATATATTTAGGAGAACTGCGTTTGACAGTGTTCATGGGTTAAGCCACCCTGGTGTACGTCCAACCGGTAAAATGATGGTCAAACGCTTCTTTTGGCCGGGGATGAATCGAGATGTAGGTCAATGGGCTTCGGCATGCATACAATGCCAAAGGTCAAAGGTTAGTCGACATGTGATCTATGGTTTAGGCGAATTTCCTAAGGCCAACCGATTTGAGCACATCCATGTGGATATTGTTGGTCCTTTACCAACATCTCCACAGGGATTTAGATATTTAATAACCATCATTGATAGAAGTACGCGTTGGTCGGAAGCATTTACGGTGCAAGAAATTAGTGCAGATGTAGTTTCCAAATGCATATATGAAGGTTGGATTGTCAGATATGGCTGCCCCATTCGCATTACTACCGATCAAGGCCGACAATTTGAGTCGAGTTTGTTTCGTAAATTAATGATTTTTTTCGGAATACATAAGATACGCACTACGCGATACCACCCTCAGGCCAATGGCGCAGTGGAGGGATGGCATAGTCTAAAAGCCGCACTCATGACTCGGTTGAACGTTATTACAACTTGGTTTAAATTACCGACAATTTTGTTTGGGCTTCGGGCAGCGGTTCGTACGGATAGCCAAATCAGCGCGGCAGAATTAACCTTTGGAAAAACTATACATTTCAAAAGCGAATTCTATGATGGATCGCAAGAAACAGACTGTAATGATCCAAGTAGTTTGGTTGAGATAATATGAGAGAATATCAGTCATTTTCGTCACCCAGAGAGATAATGTAGACTCGCGTAATATTTTTGTTTATCCTGCGTTGCAGGATTGCGAATATGTTTTTGTTCATACAAAAACAGGGATGATAAGGTCCATAAATCACTTAACCCTTTGAGTACCGTCATTATAGACACAATTAAAGAACAATAGGTTGCGGTCACCGGTGTCCTCGCGGTGTTTGACAGTTTAAACAACCTTACAATGGGCCATATAAGGTTTTAGAGAGATCTACGAAAGTATTTAAAATTCAGTTACCCTGAACGCGAAGCATATATTTCAATAGATCGATTGAAACCTGCTTTCGTAATTAAGGAAAATGAAAGTTCAATAAGTAATAATGTACCTATCATACCCAGGGACGATTCCCGGTTGTCACATAATATGCCACAGGTGTTGTTAGATAAGCATAAAGTAACACGATCAGGGCGCTTACTCTTGAAACCAATCTCAATGTCAATGCAATTTCAATCCAATATGATCTCAATAATTATTAAATGTCAACACTATACAACCACAATCTTAGCTGTTACAATAGCATTCAGAGTACGGAATATAAAGACAAACTCAATACCATTTAGTTCATTCAATATCTACGCAATACGGATGCAATGGGCTCTAGTATTGCAACTCAAGAGTACGAAATTTCACAATACCAATGTCGATCGATCGGAATTGGATTCAAGAGTAAGCCCCCAGGCCATCAGGGAAAGTAACCCGAACACCCGCGATTTGCGTTATCGTAGTAGTATCGTAGTTCTCATTGGAATAAATTAGTTCGTAACTCTTTTGGCACAGAAAGCATTTCCTGCAATGTCTGTTATTGAATACTAGCTTTTAAAAAATAATTTCGTTTTCCCTCGAGAATATCAAATTTTTCCGGGATATAAAGTACCCTATTATTTAATCCTGACTTCTAACTTTACATCTGAAAAAATTCAAAGCAATCGGTTTAGTAGTTACGGCGTGAAAGCGAGACAAACAAACAAACAAACAAACAAACTCACTTTCCGATTTATAATATTAGTAAGGATTAGTAAGGATGTTTAGTGTATGTGTGTAATTTTAATTAATAGCATATTAATATTGTACTTTTGTAATTTCTTGTAGTTTCTGTTTAGGTTTTATTTTTATTTAGAGGGGGAATGATGTAGGGACACTCACGTACACACCTATGTAAAATGTGCATGACTGTGTGCGTAAGGCGTCGTATCATATTGCTATTCCCTCCTTAAATTAGAATAAAAGCCAATCTTCACATTACGGTGTGCCGGGCCGGTACCTTTGTTAAACTTGAACTTTTGTATAATAATATCGTGTGTCTTGATGTGAACAATAATATAATTTACCAGTGGCGTTCTGAACTTTGATTTAAACTGTCAAACACCGAGCGGTCACCGGTGACCGCATCCTATTGTTCTTTAATTGTGTCTATAGTGACGGTACTCAAAGGGACTGTCAAACACCGCGAGGACACCGGTGACCGCAACCTATTGTTCTTTAATTGGCCACCGTAAGCGCGGGCCTGCGGACGGCGAGCATGGGTGGCTCCCCGTCCGACCAGAAACAGACCTGAGCATACGGCGCGTCGCGTTCCGCGCGCGCCTCAAAGAGCCATCAGACAACCACAGATGGGGCCCAATAGGGCCGATGCCGAATCGGAGTCGCGGAGAACCTAACGGGTAACCGGGGCTCCGGCTCGATGTGCAGGGGAAGGAACGGGGTGGTTTTTAGTCAGTAAGAGTCTGACACTCCCTTCCGCCTCCCAGGCGGGAGCAGTCATTCGATGATTTTCCCCCCTTAAAAAACAAATTGTTCTTTAATTGTGTCTATAATGACGGTACTCAACGAGTTAATCTCTGACATAACCCAAATATTTTATTTACAGGTTACCAGGAAGTCCAAAGTGTCGATATTCCTTTGGAAGGTAACACCAACACTCCACAGCATTTGATGCCCTACGATTATGCATACCGTAATCAGAAATCTCTTTTGGGCAAAATGACAGAAATTTTTTGTAAAGGTATTTACTTAGCCCATTATTCCTCTGTTAGCTGTAGATGCGGCTTCACATACTTCTCAACATCAACTAACTACGACATCAACAGCCACTTCTCACACAGAGAAGGGTTGGCGATTTCAAATTTCTGATTGGAAATTAAGTATAAGCCCAGTTTTCTTTACAATGTTTTTCTTCACCGATTGTGTGTATAAATAATCTTCGTAAGTACATTATACATATAAGTCGGTAAAAGTTACATTGGTACTTGCTTTTGGTAGGTTTCGAACCCGCACTCTCATGCATATTAAACCTCTGGGCCACCACGACTCTCGAATATACGAAAGAATGTATATAAGTATTTATATACTAGCTGTGCCCGCGACTTCGTTCGCGTGGTTGTCGAAAACAAAACAACATCGTTTAGATGCATATAAACTCCACTCAAGAAGATGGTATAGTATTTTTTTGCCAATGAAGATCCTGACTATAGTATATTTTTATTTGGTAATATTGGTATCTAGTTGATTACGTTAATGTTTCTCTATATAATAGATTAGCGGTTGAATGGGGATGATGACAGGGTATGAAAATTAAAAATATAATTAGTCCGCAAGTTAGGTAATGAAAAAATATTAGACACGTATTTTTTTATTTTGTCGTATAATAAAACAATACTTAGATAAAACGAATCAAAGTTTAGGAGTGGGGGTTAAAACGTCATTTCTTAGTATAAAATGTACTGAGAAGTGACGTCACGCGACATTTCAAATCAATATATCTTCGAAACTATTCGTTTCTGTGAGAAAAGAAAAAATACGTGTCTAATGTTTTAAAATAATCTACCAGACGGACATTAAAATAAATATTAGACGTCTACCCCATTACCCGGAGCATTATACAAAAAGGTTTTTGTTTTTTTCTTTGAGGTATTTTTAAGGAAAATATCAAAGCAGTATATAAAACCGACAAAATTTTAAAGATCGTCTGTTCGTGGTCACGACTTAACGAATTCATTACACTCACTATACCGATTGGCACTATTCAAACTCAGAAGTAAATACTTCTACTTTAGGGATGATACGTATTTACTGGTACAGGTATAAATACCTAGAATTTTTTAATAAAATTAAATAGTTTTAATTGATAAACCTCAATAATTCATTGTTAAATAGTGTAATATTACACCTACGTATTGTGTTCAGTGTTTTTGATGTGATTCTACGGCGATATTAAACAAATAAATGTTATTTGTAATAACCATCTGACAATCTGTCAAATAACGACGGTGGATTTGAAATCATAAAACCAGGGGAGTATTGTTTTTCTTGTATTTATGCTATTAGAATTAGTTAACAACGTATTGTATATTATTCGCTTCAAGCTTCCTTGTGCGTACTGCTAAAGAGTGGAATTCTTTGCCAGAGTCTGTATTTCCTGAAGGGTATAACCTGGGAGTCTTCAAGGCCCGAGTGAATAGGTTGCTTATGGGACGACGTGCTCCAACGTAGACCGCATCATCGCTTACCATCAGGTGAGATAGTGGTCAAACGTCGCCCCATCAATTATAAAAAAAAAAAAATTGTGTGGCTATAATTTCTATACCAACGCCATTTACAAGTTTATTCTATTCAATATTTTGAGTAACGTCCCGTACACACCGGCACAGTTTATGTCTCCTTTTGCTTGACAATAAGTGGAAGCAGAATCGACGACTAAAACATTAGCCCAGACAATATAAACTACATAACTGACTGCACATAAACAAATTAGGCCATTACTTTAATACATTTTAATATAATTACTTAGAAACATAACATAACATAACATCACGCCTTTTATCCCCGAAGGGGTAGGCAGAGGTGCACATTACGGCACTTAATGCCACTGTACAATGTAACACCTACTTTTCACTATTTATGTTATGAGTCCCATGTAATAGGGGGTGAGCCTATTGCCATATACCGGGCACGATTCTAGACTCCGTGCTACTACCGAGATTTTTTTTAAAACCCAGTTATACTTTGCCCGACCCAGGAATCGAACCCGAGACCCCTTGCCCGGCAGTCGCACTTGCGACCATTCGGCCAACGAGGCAGTCATATTTATATAATTACTTATCTACTTTTGTATTCTGTCCCTTCCCATATTATTTTACTCACTTATTAATAGTTATTCTTGTGTTTATCTTTAGCTTACTGTGTAATAACAATAGTAATCTATCTACAACCAATTCAAGAATTCTTTTACTTAATTTCCACTTTAACTTCTAATATATTCTTATTTTCGGCCTACCTACATAGTCCACACAACTAGTGTTTTAATTATTGCTAGCACTTAGCTTCCTTTAATTATTATTTCAGGATATAACAAACATGCTAAAGAGGGAAGATGATGACTCGCAGGGCTACCACCATCAAGGACCTTGAGGAGAAACTGCAGACTACACTTAAGGAACTTAAGGAGCTGTGCAGCCAATTACTTCAGGAACGGGATGACAGTGAGGTTGAAGTCAAGCTCATGATTGACAAGAATACAGCACTCAAGAATGAGCTTGCTGAACTACATGTCAAGTACACAGACATACTTGACCAATATAACCAGCTGCGGTACACCATCGCCACATTCCAGGAGTGTAGAGATACACATGAGGCTGCATTGACAAAAATAACTGAATTAGAGTTGGAATTGTCCGATGCCCATAAAATAATCTCTTCCTCTCAAAATTGGAAATGTAAATTTGTTGAACATCACACAAACACTCATACATTATACGATGAGTTGGTAGGCAGTAGGATATAGTGTGAGGAACCAGAGCCAGTGACTATTGACCTGACTGGTGACGACACCGTTCACACTTGTCCCTTTAAAAGCCATAATAAATTTAAAAAATATATTAGAATCAACAAATTAATAAAATAAAATGGACCCATAATTTACTTAAAAAACAAAACTTAAGAAAAGTGAGCCTGGGTCTGAGAAAGGATAGAATTAGTTTAGTCCAAGAACTTAAATCTTGCTCTAAAGAACTGAATATGTACATACCCTTAGAAAAATAAAGTAATTAATGTAATTAATTATAGTTATAAATTAAATGACTGCCTCGTTGGCCGAGTGGTCGCAATTGCGACTGCCGAGCAAGGGGTCTCGGGTTCGATTCCCGGGTCGGGCAAAGTACTACTGGGTTTTTTAAAAAATTCTCACGGAGTCTGGAACTGTGCCCGGTATATGGCAGTAGGCTCACCCCCTATTACATGGGACTCATAACATAAATAGTGAAAAGTGGGTGTTACATTGTACCTCTACAGTGGTATAATGTGCACCTCTGCCTACCCCTTTGAGGATAAAGGGCGTGATGTTATGATGATGATGATGATTATAAATTAAACTACAAAACTTCTATTTTTGGTGATGAATTGGCATCAGGTTTTGGTAAAATGTTACATGTGTGGCGACGCATGCCACATGTCAACGGATGACGTCATAAAATCCTACATCGCACATGCAAAGTTTACAAGCGAATAAACACGGATAGAAAATCCCAACGAACAACTGTTGGGCAGAAAGCCCGCCAGGCACGATCACCTCACCTGGTCGGAGGATCCTCCTTTTCCGATCTTAGGGAACTATACTCTCTGTTCCCTAAACATGGTCACCTTAACCATAGTTATATTACCAACAGTTACCATAGTCTGAGTTTTAATAGAATTATTGAAAAAATAACTGAGACAGAATTAAATGAAAAGTCTATGATAGTTTTAACAATAGGTAATAGTTTAGGTATAAAAAGAAGGGAAATAAATGATTTTGACTTTTGACTTTGACTTTAGTTTGAGCTTACCAGTACGCATACTGGGTATGTAAGCAGAAACCCGGTCCCTATTCGTTCCGTTCGTATTCATGACCTTTGATCTCGTGTAAAATGCCGACATCGTCTAGAGTCTAGACAGTAACGCATCGGCCAGGGTTGTCAAAAATATGAGCTTATGGCACCGACTATAAGTCGGTCAGTGGGTGAGTAACTCATCAGTACTAATATGGTTATTTTTTTGCTTTTTAGTTTTTACTTTTATTGTTTTTAGTTTTTAGGTTTTTTGAGAAGTCGGTTTTTTAAACGCAGTTTTTTTTTATTTTATCAAATTTAGTGTAAAACTATAGATCCCGTTTTGCCACTTATAATCCACATAGGTGCATTGTAATCAATATACATTATAGAAACCCAAACACAATGTAGTTACGTTAAAACGACACCCATGACGAAAAATTGAAAATTTCATGCAGCCGCCATCTTGGATTTAGATTCTGACAGCGCCATCAGTTTCACCGTCCTCAAAAACCACGAAAACAATACCCATGGTGATAAATTAAAAATTTCGGGCAGCGGCCATCTTGGATTGGCATTATAACAACACCATCATGTTCACCACCCTCGAAAACAATGAAAACGATACCCACGACGATAAAATAAAAATTTCGTGCAGCCGCCATCTTGGATTTACATTTTGACAGCACCATCGGTTTTACTACCCTCGAAAACCATGAAAACGACACCCATGACGATAAATTGAAAATTTCATGCAACGGCAAACATACATAAAAAAACAATCATTCGAACATAGTGCCTTCTCCTTTTTTTTGAAGTCGGTAAAAACAAACACGCGTTAGCCCTGAATAATATATCCCGAGCTACTAACATCGTTTTGTTCGCAGCTCGGGAACGGCCTACCCGCGTCTCGCCCTTCACACCCCGAACGATTGCCCTGTCTAGACGTCTTCGTTGGACGACTGTATAGACTGTGACAGAACTGACAGTACGGCCCTGTTGACCGGTTCTGACGTCATACTCACTAATACCCAGTGTGGTCGTTCATAATCATAATGCAGCTCGCCTCGCGCTTACCACTCACGCGGAGAATTACGAATTTACCCGAAAGATCACGACGCTTCCCGAATACACTCGGTGATACAAATTTGTTCTTTATTTCTACGTGCATTCAGAAGTTTATTGCGTAATAATGTTAAAGAGTATTTTAACATTTTGAAATATTAAAGCTTTTTTCCGTAAAAAAAGTTATTTACGTTAATAAAGATAATAGTGTTATTACTGAACGGAGATCGCAACGAAGGGGTAGGTAGAGGTGCACATTACGGCACTTAATACCACTGTGCAATGTAACACCCACTTTCCACTATTTATGCTATGAGTCCCATGTAAAAAGGGGTGCCATATACCGGGCACAATTCCAGACTCCGTACTACTACTGAGACTTTTTTTAAATCCAGTAATACTTTGTCCGACCCGGGAATCGAAGCCGAGACCCCTTGCCTGGCAGTCACATTTGCGACCACTTGGTCGAGGTAGAAGCCAATTAAGTACAGACCTACAGTATTAGATAAAAGATGGGTTTTTAAACACCTAACAGGTTATCCGTGGAGGTCCAGATTGTATTAGTAGACCTTTGACAAAAACGATTGTATGCAATAGGGTAGATGATTACTAAGACTAATTTTAATGGTAGATTATTTAAAAACATTAGACACGTATTTTTTATTTTCTCACGGAAACGAATAGTTTCGAAGATATATTGATTTGAAATGTCGCGTGACGTCACTTCTATGTACATTTTATACGTATAGGGGCAAGACGAGAGTCTCGGGTTCGATTCCCGGGTCGGGCAAAGTATGACTGGGATTTTAAAAAAAAATCTCAGTAGTAGCACGGAGTCTGGAATTGTGCCCGGTATATGGCAATAGGCTCACCCCCTATTACATGGGACTCATAACATAAATAGTGAAAAGTGGGTGTTTCATTGTACAGTGGTATAATGTGCACCTCTGCCTACCCCTTTGGGGATAAGAGTGATGTTATGTTAACTCATTATTCATTTTAGATGCATATTCAAAGCTGGTTATCGCAGAAAATATACAAGGCACATATATGGGGTCCTTGGAATATGAAATGGGTATAGTATCGGGTAATGTGATTGACAAATTCACCCATATGATGGATATCTACAAACACTATTCAACCCCCGAAATATTTCAAAATCCTAAAACTGATGTGCATGTCCTAATGAACGCTTATGCTGCTATACGTAAGTATTTTAAAGCATCCTTACTTCTTTACTTATATTATAAATCAGAAAGTGAGTTTGTTTGTTTGTTCCGCCTTCACGCCGTAACTACTAAACCGATTGCTTTGAAATTTTGCAGACGTAAAGTTAGAAGTCTGGATAAAATAATATACTTTTTATCCCGGAAAAATTGATATTTTCTAGGAAAAACAAAAATATTGGTATAGATGGCGCTGTATGTACTAGTATAGATGGCGTTGTATGTCATTTAAAAGCAGTCAACGAATTACCTACTTATTGGAAAAATCTAACCGAATTCCACGCGAGCGGAAAGCTATTTGTTTGTTTGCCTGTCTTAAACGGCAGAACGGAGGCACTAATTAACGTGATTTTTTAACTGAAGATGAACGGACGGATAGTCACATAGGCTACTTTTTATCCTTTTGTGACGCGAGCGAAGCCGCGGGTAAAAGCTAGTTTTTTATAAGATAGTCAAACGAGCAGACTGCACACCTCATGGTGAGCATTCAGCACCGCCCATGTACACCCGAAACACGAGAGGTGTCACCAGAACGTTGCCGGCGTTTTGGGGGTTGGGAATTTAAGGATTGGGAAGATTGGGGAGCAATAGGCTGCCCTATTGCTCCCCAATCTCTGACTGACTGACTGACTGAAATTTTGCGGGCTCCAAAATTATCATTGGTACTGACGTTAACGCGTCTTCATCCTTGTGGTATGGCAAGGTCAGGGCTACTGACATGGAACGGCGCTGTGCTGTTGAAGAATTAATTGCCGAAATGAATCTCTCCATTCATAACACCCCTGATGCACCACCTACTTTTTGCAGCCAAATGGGCGAATCTTGTATTAACGTCACACTTTTTAGTGCGGACGTTAGCTTGGATAGGTGGCGTGTCCTACCAGATGCGTCGTGTAGTGATCATCGCCTGATCGTGTACGAGTTTGTTTCAACATTACCCCAGGGTCCAACATATTGCAATGAAAGCTTTAGGTACAAGACTAAGGGTGCGGATTGGAACTTTTTTTGGTTCATTATTTGCATCCCAAGCCAGAGACTTCAGTCGCAGAGATCTCTCGGCCGAGGAGGGTGCTGAAATCATGTCGGATGCCTTCACTTACTGTGCCGACATCGCTTCTAGTTGCGGGTCCTTGACAAGTTCGCGTAGATGCGACTGGTGGAATAACTATCTAGTCGAACAACGTAAATGCTTTCGTAAAGCGCGCAAACAGTTAAATAGACTAAAGAAACGTCAGGTAACCGGTACCGGTGCTTGCGTTTAGAGTTGCCAGGTCACGCTATAGGGCTTCGGTGGAGAAAGCCAATGGTGATTTGCTACGGAGGGTTGTACAGAAATTAAATACGGAGGGCCCGTGGTCGCCTCTATACCATGAGTTCAAAGCTAATAGATCCGTCAATCTGGCATTCGTACAGAACATAAAAGTCAACAATGTTCACACCACTGGTATTGAGGAGACAACGGAAGTTCTACTCGATGAGCTTGTCCCTGACGATGTATTCGAGACAGACAATGATTACCATCAACAGATTAGGTCGTGGGCAGCTATACCGCCTGAATCACCAGTGTCTGATCTACCGTCCATCAACGAGCTCGTAACTATTGTTAAAACTTTGCCCTTAAATAAATCATCTGGTGAAGACAAAGTCTCAAATAAAATGATAATAGAAGCGTGTAAATCCGCGGCTGATGCGATCCTAACTGTATTCAATCGTTGCATCGCGGAAGGTGTCTTTCCTCGTGTATGGCGACGTGGATTCATTCGCATAATCCCTAAGAAATATAATAACATATTAAGGCTATTAGTGAGAAAGCCAAAAATAACTTCTATGCGCTGACGCAAATTTCAAAAGCCACCTGGGGTCTCTCTTTTCTTACGCTCAGGATCATTACGGAGCAACCTACCTGGGATGCGTGTGCTACGGGGCGTCTGTCTGGGCTGATAGGGCCACAATAGGCGCGGTACGGCGAAAACTTCTTCAAGGCCAGCGTCTAGCCTTGATTTTCCTGTGTAAGGCTTATAGGACGGTTAGCACTGCTGCTATGTACTACAGTGCGAGACCTAATTGATCATCAAACTTTCTAGCACAACGTGGTAGAAATAAAGTTGCTAGATTGTTTACGCCAATAACGGACGTTTGGGGCGAGCTTATAACTGAATGGTAGTGTAGATGGGCATCTTATATTAAGGGCCGCCACCTATATCAGTTCTTCCCATCCGTGCATGACCGGCTGGAGAGGACATGGTTGGAGGTGGATCACTGTGTTGCCCAATTTCTTACTGGCCACGGCAACTTTAAAAGCAAATTGTTCTCATTTAAACTTATTGATTCACCATGGTGCCAATGTTCGACAGAGGAGTTGCAATACGAGCAGTCGGTCACATACTCTGGGAGTGTTATCTCTGGCAATATGAACGTAACACTATGTTAAATAATTTAATTTTTTCGTCAGGTGTAGCTTATTATACGGACCTTGTGGAATCTAGAACGAATTTCCGTGCGTTTAGGCGTTTTTGCCATACCTACTTATTATTGAAAGCAAGTATATCAGCTCACACATAGGACCCACTTCGTTTTTAGTCAAATTTCCGTAGTGCTTGGCGACTGGGCTTAACCCAGTTGTACAGTCTCTTCTTAACAATTTTTTATGGCATAAGCCGATAAACGAGCAAACAGATCACCTGATGGTAAGCAATCGGCGTCGCCCATAGACACCCGAAACACCAAAGGCGTTACAAGTGCGGCTTTTTCGAAATTGGAAATTTGAGGATTGAGGGGGATTCGGGGATTGGGGAGACTGGAGAGGGCGGTAACCTCACTCACACGACGAAACACAACGCAAGCGTTGTTTCACGTCGGTTTTCTGAGTGGTATTGGTATCACTCCGGTCGAGACGGCCCATTCGTGCCGAAGCATGGCCTTCTCACATATTTCAGGGAGTTACTACAACCAGCTGATAATAGACCGCAACTTGTTCGTGAAGTTTGAAAATAAACATGATGAAAAGAATGAAAAAGAAGACGATTACTGGGAAAGAATGGCTGAAAAATATAATGTACCTGTTGAGCAACTGAAAGACGCGAGAGACAAAGGTTTACTCAAACCAGAGGACTTTCCCGGTGAAGAGGGGCCACCAAAACGAAGAAGTATGAAAATTAAAACGACAGAAAAACCAAAAAGCAACGTTAAGGTACAGACAAATTATAATAACTATCATGAGACATACTAAATTAACTAAAAATCGCGGGTTACTCACGTGAATATACTGAGAAAAGCTCAACTAGTTTCGAACCACAGAGGGGTGACTCTTGAGCAGCGTGCGCGGTCGCGGCGACGTCGCGCAGCCTACCTCTGTGGTTCGAAACTAAAAGAACTTTCAAGTCAAAGTCAAAAGTTTTATTTCGATAAAACCATAATTTGGTACTTTTGAAACGTCAATAAATACAAAATAAATAATAGTCTGTCAGTCAGTCCGTCAGTGAAGCTAGGTGCTCATTCCAAAATGTAGATTCGAATGGAGAAGAACAAGCAATAAACTCCATTCATTACGCTTTTTAAACACGTATGTTCTACAATGTTTCTGATACATATTCCAATACTGTACGCATATGTGAGAACAATGAAAAGACACGCTTGACGCGTTATAGGTAGGTACTAATTACAAACCTTACTAAAAAATAAAAAAATCTTATAGTCTAACATAGCATAGTGCTCCCATATGCATACTGACAATCCATAGAAATAGTGCGTCTATACCTCTACAAGAAAAAGGAAACTCTTTGATTCAATAAAGAAAGAAATGCTCGATGCCATAACGAAACTAGATTGTCCACAATATGTATTTTCGAGTGAGTAACGCGTGATTTTTAAGTTAATTTAGACAATTTATCTTCAAAGTGTAAGACTTTATCAGGATTTCTTAAAAAAAATCTTTTTACATATTTATTTATTTATTTATTCGAAGGAGTACGGCCACATGAGCCACATCACAAACATATAACATTCAAAATTCACAATAGTAACAAAATAAAGGTCTGATGCATGCGACAATAATGGCGTACATAGGATTGGCAATTCATAGGCTTAACAGTGGCTTTTTTTATGGCATAAGCCGGTAAACGAGCAGACGGATCACTTGATGGTAAGCAATCGGCGTCGCCCATGGACACACGGAACACCAGAGGCGTTACAAGTGCGTCACCCGCTTTTTGGGGATTGGGAGTTTGAGGATCGTTGGGGATTCAGGGTTTGGGGAGATTGGGGAAGGGGAAGGTAATTGGACCTCCGGTCACCTCACTCACACGACGAAACACAACGCAAGCGTTACTTCAACGGAGCCGGCCCCTTCGTGCCGAAGCATGGCTCTCCCACACTTGGCATTACTTAGCTTAAAATAGAATCCAATTTGCGAATTATGGAAAAGAAAATAACAACAATAATCCACACCATACACACATAACATAACATTACGCCTTTTATCCGGGGGGGGGGGGGGGGTAGGTAGAGGTGCACATTACGGCACTTAATGGCACTGTAAAATTACCACTATTTATGTTATAAGTCCCATGTAATAGGGGGTGACCTTATTGCCATATACCGGGCACAATTCCAGACTCCGTGCTACTACTGAGATTTTTTTTAAACCCAGTAGTACTTTGCCCGACCCGGGAATCGAACCCGAAACCCCTTGCTTGGCAGTCGCACTTGTGACTACTCTGCCAACGAGGCAGTGATAATATATATTTTTGTACTTAAAATTAATAGTACAGAATATTACGACTGCTCCGTCTGAAGGCTAAGTTCAGACTGCGGGGTCTGGCATGACATGCAACCTACCTCGCTAACATTTATCTTATCTATACAGTGGCGTGCACACCATACATGCAAATAAGCACTGCATACCCTACAAAACCATGGTAAACCTACATAGTCAAATACATAGTGTCACTCATAAACACGACATGAATATTTACTGACATCATACAGAGATTTCGTAATTTTATTGATATTTAATTTGGAAAACTGGTAACTAACGCCATCTATCGAAAAAATATTGAAGTACTACAACCACTTTCTACTTTCTTCGATATTGGAGCATTGCGCCAGTGGCGCCGCCACCTCGCTATTGTGTGATGGTGGCGGAAGCATGTACTAATGCTAGCCGGTACATTTTGCTTGTTTTCTCGTGCTGATGTTGGATTTTTTTTTTGTTAGGTTGGTAATTTCTATACAACTGCAAAAGCACTGCTTCTTCGTTATCCGACTAATTTAGGAAGTCAACAAATCGTAACGTTTGTTGGAAAATAGATAGGTATATTAATTTTGGTCAACTTATTGTTTACGTTTTTTTTGGCCATTTTGTTTTGGTTATGTTTTTATGTGCAAGTGAATAAATTGTAATGTAATGAATTATAATTTAAATGAACTGTTAATTTACCGAAAATTATGTAAAATTATAGCTGTGAGCTCTGTGCTGGTGATTTGTGTTGTTCAATAAATTCAATATGAGTGCGTTGTCCTTATTGTCGTTCGAAGAAGAAACGAAAATATTTCCAAAGGCGATTTTGCGTGTGTCGTATGTCCGGGCTAGGCGTAACTCAAAAAAGGTAATAATTTTATTATTTCTTTTAATAAACTACGATTTGCGATTATAGGTATAGTTTGTTAACACTGGTGGTGTACCAATTTCATTATTGTTTTTAAAATCCAGTCATCTTGATCTCGCTTTGTACGATTTTTCTATGCATTTAACGGTCAGTTTATACTGGTGTCGCATAGCTTGATGGTCGCGTACCCATTTGTACTTCGCCGCTCCAAAGTAGGTACCTAGTTAATAGATTTATAAAATAGATACCTAGCTATCTATGTTGATCAACTTTATACACGGATAGTTTGAAAATAATTATGTACCTAATTTGTTTATACAAATTAATAAAAGACTTACTAAACCTAATTACCTACTCAAAATTATGATGTTTCGGGAGTTTTATTTTCCGAGATTAATGTAGACCAATTTTTTTTAATCATGTGATACCTTCTGCCTACCCTACTTCAAATCTCTGTGCACGCCTCTGTATCTATACATACCTATAATAACACTGTAGAAGTGTACATTTCGTACATTAAAAATATTAAACAAATATACAAGGTGTTGTTTTAAAGCCGCGTCATTTTCTAGGAGGTAACTCGGCTATCGATTCTGAGTGCGAATCAATAAAAAAAATTGTAGGTAAATATTTTTCATTTTTCTGTAAATTACTGAAATCCGTAAGTACGAAGTTCACGCCGCCGTCTTATAACTAGCTTTATAACGCGGCTTAACACACACAAACTCAAACACGTAATTGATATTTTTCCTAATTCCATAAAACTCCAATAAGAAACATTGCTGTCGCTTATTCTGAAATACTGTCGAACTTAAACGATTTATTATAGTCGTATTTTTAACTATTGGCTCGAAACTGTGACATGCCCCCGAGAAATGCCACGGTTTCAAAACTACACCTTGTATAGTAGGGGGTGTTTATTATAATTTAATTTATTTAAAAGATTATTAAGACACATCGTGAGGAAACCTGGATGAAATCTGGTAATTAATGCTCAAACCTTCTCCATGTGAGAAGAGGCTTTGCTCAGCAGTGGGCTGTTGATGATGAAGTCAAGTGTAATTTTCTATTGTACTGTAAAGTATTTATTTATTTATTTTTATTTTAAACATTACCCCACACTAGGATTTTCTCCTGTGTCGTGGGTGCGTTTACAAACATACAAGTTCACATACACATTACACCCAGACCCGACTGCCTCGTTGGCCGAGTGGTCGCAAGTGCGACTGCCGGGCAAGGGGTCTCGGGTTCGATTCTCGGGTCGGGCAAAGTATTACTGGGTTTTTTAAAAATCTCAGTAGTAGCACGGAGTCTGGAAATGTGCCCGGTATATGGCAATAGGCTCACCCCCTATTACATGGGACTCATAACATAAATAGTGAAAAGTGGGTGTTACTTCTATGTGCACCTCTGCCTACCCCTTCGGGGATAAAAGGCGTGATGTTATGTTATGTTTAATTTTAAGGTAACAGTAAAAAAAGAAACAATCAGAAAGAGGAATAGAAACATCAAGTGGGGTCGTCAACCTAACAATACCGAAGAAGCGCAATATAAGAAAGAACTGAGGTACAAGAGTTGGGCACAAAAATGGCGTGGTTTCAACCCAGATATCGAAGGAATACATATTCCTAAGCACATAGCAAATATTGGTTTGAAAAACTTCAGTAACTTTCTACCGAGTGAAATCCAAGGAGGCATTTAAATATTTTGTTTTAAATAAAATATTTTGAACCTATCATTCTGTCTATTTATTTCCCACTTTTTTTTTAAAGGAGGAAAATCATCGAATGACTGCTCCCGCCTGGGTGAGGCGGAAGGGAGTGTCAGACTCTTACTGACTAAAAACCACCCCGTTCCTTCTCCTGCACGTCGAGCCGGAGCCCCGGTTACCCGTTAGGTTCTCCGCGACTCATTTATTTCCCACTAGCTAGTCATAAAAGGATAAAAAGTAGCCTATGTGACATATACCATAACACACAGCGCCATCTATACCAATTCTTTTGTTTTCCCTCGGAATATCAATCTAGATATAGATGGCTTTACCAATCAAATAGGTATTTATCCTTACTAATATTATAAATCAGAAAGTGAGTTTGTTTGTTTGTTCCGCTTTCACGCCATAACTACTAAACTGATTGCTTTGAAATTTTGCAGACGTAAAGTTAGAAGTCCGGATTAAATAATAGGGTAGTTTTTATCCCGAAAAAGTATACACACGAAAAAACAAACTTAATTGTGCTTGTCAACCCCTAGACACAGTTATTGTCATCATCATCAAAGCCTATAAATGCCCACTGCTGAGCAAAGCCTCTTCTCACACGGAGAAGATTAGAGCATTAATCACCACGCTTGCAAAGTCAAAGTCAAGTCAAAGTCCTTCACCGTTTGTCAGTGGTGTCTAAATAATCTTAGAAAGTACATATAACTCGGAAAAAGTCACATTGGTACTTGCCGTTGGTAGGTTTCGAACCCGCACCCACAGTTATTGTACCAAACGCAAATATAAGTTTGTCGAATGTTAGATGCCCCGCAGGGGACTTAACGCTGTAACTATAGGGCAGATGGTTGATATTAGCTTTAACCGATATTAGAAGTATGAAAATATGTGAATTTGTGTATATATTTATTACCTAGTCACTCATATCAATACGGCTGAAGGGTCTGAGATGAAATTTGAAACAGAGGTAGATTATGTTGTTATAATAACTATCGTGAGACATACTAAATCAAGTAAATCAACTAGTAGAGCTTTTCTCAGTATATTCACGTGAGTAACCCGCGATTTTACTTGATTTAGAGGTAGATTATGATCTGCAGTAACACATAGGCTACTTTTTTACCCCTGGAACGCGGGGGAAGCCGCTGGCAGAAGCTAGTACCTAATAATAAGATCCTAATACCTAAATTAACCCCTCGAGCGTCCTTATGAGCACCCGGTGGATCATAAGAAAAAATGCTCCATGCTGCTTTCTCTTTTATAAAATCTATTATTAATGTTTTGTTTTTATTTTGACTGTATTTTTTATTTCTATTGTAATGATCCTTGTTTTCGTGTGCCAATGGCCAAATAAATGCATTTTCTTTCTTTCTTACTTACTTTCTCCAAATGTCACGTGTGTACCTGTTTTATTAGGTATTAGGATGTTTTTGTAATTTACCTCTAGTATGTCTCACGATAGTTATTATAAAAACATCATAATACCTAATAAAACCTGCCAACGCCGGCAAGTACCACTGTGACTGTTTCCGAATTATATGTACTTTCTAAGATTATCTAGATACCACTGACAAACGGTGAAGGAAAACATCGTGAGGAAACCTAATAACTAATTAGGACTTATAATTTCTAATTATAAGTTTGAAATCACCAACCCGCATTGAGCAACCGTGGTGATTAACGCTCAAACCTTTTCCGTGTGAGAAGGTCTTTGGTTAGCAGTGGCGTGACCACTCATAGGCTGTTGATCTTGATGAGTAGGTAGTAATAAAAAGACAATAGGTTCGCCCCCCAAATCTAACCTTTCCACAAATCCAGACGTCCCTCAAATCCAACCATATGTTCGAGTCTGATTCACGTGGGGGGCGGACACACGATTGAAACCCATACATTATTGAAACATGTCAGAACAGAAAATTGAGAACATCTTCGCAGGAGTACATCTGGAGCTGACGCTGGGTATTTCTGCATGCGACCCATCAGTGGTAAGGAGTCGAGCCGCGCTCCTATCAGCATAGATACTACAGCCGAACAAGAATATTCTCAGTCTTAATGACGATTTGGAGATCTTGTTGTTATTAGTAAAACAACTTGCTGTCGTAGAACGAATGAATTCATTAGCAGGAGGTGGTGCTTTTTATACAAAAATTGGTAAGTACCACACAGTACCAGCACAAGTGTGCTACTTACAACTATTTCTATACATTAACCAATTAAAACTATTAAATTAAAGATAAATTACATTTTGAAATTTATACACCAATAACATAGCCTAAATTATAGCCCATAGCGTTACACTATTTAGAACAGAAATTTATTTACAATGTAAACAATGGATAGAAAAGGATAGCCGATAAAAGAGCGAGATAACCGATGAGTGAGAAGTCCGTGCAAAGAGGACGCGCTTTCGCAGCGCCGCGCGTTGAGTTTTCGCGCCACTATAAATATTGCGCAGCGCGTGCCTTGCGACTGTCGAGCCGTGAAGATGTTGACACCGTGCGCCGTGCCGCGCTGCGATACCTACGCGCGTGATACTGGCAGCGGCGTCGGCAAGTTACTTCGTCTCTTGTAGACAGAGGGTCAAAAACGTGAAACAAAATAGCTCTTCTCAGAGCTGTCTGTATTAACAGAGCATGTCAAAAACGTGGAACAAAATAGCTCTTCTCAGAGCTGTCTGTGTTAACAGAGGCGGTCAAAAACGTTGAATAAAATAGCTCTTTTCAGCTTCAGCTCTTTAGCTGTCTGCTTCTTGGTTTCTATTAAACGATGATCTAAATCCTTGTAGCTTGTGCTATGGGTAGTGTGGCTACTACGATTTTAGGTACTAATCAAATGAAAAATATATTCCTAGCACCATTTCGTAATCAAGCAAGCAGATTCGCCGCCTCCCTGTGCATTTTCTGATCGGTATATATAACCAGCAGCTGTAGCCAAATGCCATTTAGCGCTTGTCTACATGTAGAACAGAAAACCAAATTATATGGAATTGACGTAAATTCTGACACTTGTCAGTGTCATCCCCATACATTTAGTTTTCTACTCTCTCTGTAGACAAGCGCTAAAGTGGCGTTTGGCTAAAGGCACTGGATGTCTTCAAGGCCCGAGTGAATAGGTTGCTTATGGGACGACGTGCTCCATCGTAGACCGCATCATCGCTTACCACCAGTCGAGATAGTGGGCAAATTATAAAAAAAAACTTTTACAGTTGTCCGCTGTTCCGCGACGAACATCGAGCCTGGTGGGTTTCTGTGGTGGTTTGATGGCTCTCTCGAGGATTATTGAAATGTTAAGAATTCTATAAATCTAAGAAGGAAAGGTTTCAGGAAATGAATAAATTTATAATAAAAACACAAGTAGAGACGTTAAAAGCTTTTAATATGTACAATATATTATGAATTCAAATGTTACATAATTTTGGTCTAATTCGAGGCACAAATAGTCGTATTATAAATGACCAAGCTGTTTCGTAGATTGTAACAACATTACTGACCAACAGACCAGCCGAACCAAGAATCGACACAATTTCAATAAACACAAAATCGAACCTTGTCCCGATCCTTTGAAACTCCCTTTTATTTATTTATACACAATCTTAACTTTAATAATTATAATATTAGAAAAATTTTATATTTCCTTAACTCCTTTTAATTCGAAAATCTATTAAGAAAATTTTAATATATATCAATCTGATATAATATACTGGTACTTACGCCAGAATATTGAAAGGCTACACACAATTTTAAGTTGTTATTAAACATATAGCCGTCTCTGTCATTTGTGTCATTTTACAAAGAATTAGTGGAGACAGTACTATAGTTAAACGCGACTTAAAATGTATTTTCCTGTCAGTAATCAGGCGTTAGACTTACCTTAGTACGAGTTTTTTTACTTTTAAAGTAATCGTAACGAGTACGCGTTCGGCGTCCTGATTGGCCGGCGCCAATGAACCGACCAATCAGAGCGTCGAACGCGTACTCGTTACTTTAAACGTAGATCAAACTAAGTAGAATCGCGGGTTATATTGAATATACTGAGAAAAGCTCTACTAGTTTCGAACCACAGAGGGATTCTTCCTCATGAGCAGCGTGCGCGGTCGCGGCATAAATAGGTACGTACGTAACTATTTAAAAATCGCGGGTTACTCACGTGAATATACTGAGAAAAGCTCTACTAGTTTCGAACCACAGAGGGATTCTTCCTCATGAGCAGCGTGCGCGGTCGCGGCATAAATAGGTACGTACGTAACTATTTAAAAATCGCGGGTTACTCACGTGAATATACTGAGAAAAGCTCTACTAGTTTCGAACCACAGAGGGATTCTTCCTCATGAGCAGCGTGCGCGGTCGCGTCATAAATAGGTACGTACGTAACTATTTAAAAATCGCGGGTTACTCACGTGAATATACTGAGAAAAGCTCTACTAGTTTCGAACCACAGAGGGATTCTTCCTCATGAGCAGCGTGCGCGGTCGCGGCATAAATAGGTACGTACGTAATTATTTAAAAATCGCGGGTTACTCACGTGAATATACTGAGAAAAGCTCTACTAGTTTCAAGCAATAGAGGTAGTAGCCTGCGCGATATCGCCGCGACCGCGATCATGAAGAAAGGACCCCCCTATGGTTCGAAACTAGTAGATCTTTTCTCAGTATATTCACGTGAGTAACCCGCGATTTTAGTTAATTTAGTATGTCTCACGATAGTTATTGTAGATCAAACTCGTACTAAGCCTCTATTTACTGACAACTCGCTCATCAATGTCGCAGCGACAGGATGATCGCTGGGTGAACATGAATCCTTACATCCTTGAGTTACTTAAACACATACAATATTTCAACATCGTCACTTCTGTACATTTAATATTTACATTTTTATATAAATTTCACATATGGCCAAGACCACCCTTTATTTAAAACACAATACACCATTATCGTTGATTATTAATCTTTACTTGGGAGCAAGGAATGAAGCCTGCTAGCATTTTAC